TCAGCCGCCGCCCGCGTCAAGCGCCGCATGAGATCGAGGACGCCCGGGCTGCTGGAGCGCAAGTGTGCCCATGCCTCCACAGCACCGGCGTTGTCAGTATGAAAGATGACTTTCCGTCGCCGCAAATTTCGCCCCCAAACAATAGCTGCGAGGAGGGTGGGGACCAACTCCAAGTACTCAATCGACGGCGGGCTTTGCGAGATCCAACCCAGCCACCTAAGCTGGAACCATTCGTTGTGATAAAAGGTTCCCAGCCCAAGCGCGGCGGACGCATCGGTGTGAAGATGCTGGACGTCGGAGGTAGTCCAGTCGGGCTCCAGAAAAGAAGCCGTGCCGTTCCATTGCGGCAAGAACGTCCTCCACCAATCCAGGTCACGGTGAAAGTTGTCACTGAGGACAATAGCAGATCGTCCGTGGAAGGCGGAAAGCAGCATTATCATTCGCCTCGTAAACAGCCGACTGGATGGTACGCATTTTGAGGCGAAAGTGTACCAATCAGACTCTGAAGCTCATAAGTGGTACAGGAGTCCCTTCCGATCCAGGTCTTGAGGGTTTCGGTTATGTTTTGCTGCTTATTTGGGGGCAGGCTGAGAGTTTGCGCTACAGAGTCGATCTCTATGCCGACGAATGTCAGCCGAGTGGCGGGGCCCTCTGTTTTGTCCAGAGCTAATGGTACCCCAAGCTCGCTGCACACTGCCTCCATGGACTGCATGAGCAGATCGCTCTCGGTCGTCCGGGATTTGCCGACAAAGAAGAAATCGTCCACATAATGCAGCAAAGTATCAAGCCGTGCCCTCTTTCCCACGCACCAGTGAATTGCAACATATAGAGAACAACTCAAAATATACGGGGAAGAGCGGCAGCCGAACGGTAGCACTATATCGAAAAAGTACTCACCGCAAATTTTAAATCCCAGCCGGTTCCAGTCGGCACGTCTGATGGGAATGAGACGAAATGCGGACTTGACGTCCATCTTGGCCATCACTACGCCTTTGCCGGCGGTCGCAACTAGCCGTACAGGATCGTCGACTGAACAGTACTGCAGGGGCATTTCATAGCTTCCGATGTGGTCATTAACGCTGTTTCCGTATGGTTGGGAAAGGTCCATTATAGTCCGATGGCCCCCGTCTTCTTCGGACGGCAGCCCAGTGCGTTAACAACAAAGTCAGGTAACGGAGGAGCTATAAATGGACCGACAGAATGACCCAGTGACACTTCTTTTCTGATGTTTTGTAGGAGCGCGTGGTGGTAAATGCGTGCGGAGTGCGAGTTATTCGTATAGCGGCTCGTGGTGGCTCGTGTTCAAACGACAGGTTGGCCTGGCCGAACTCCAAAAATTAAGTTGTGGGCGCCGGTAGGCGCTTGTAGCCGGCAGATATATTGGCCTGTTTCCTGTTGGCGAGCCCGGCAGGAAAGTGGTTTTCCTCCCATAAATCTGCCGAAGTGCACCCACAATTCTGCCGACCCGAACATATGCTTTGCCTATGAGAACTCCAATATATCAGCCGAACCGGCGCAACAATAAAATTTGATATTTTTGTTGAGCGCGAGCCGGCAACACAACGGCCGGGCTGCAGCATGAGATGGAGCGATGAGTCCGTGCTTCTTTTATGCCATGGAAATTGCTCTTTGGAAAAATCAAAATCATGCCAATCAAGCAATGGATAAGCCCAGTACACCTTAGTAAACCAGAGAGACATTTTGTTCGGCCACCCGGTAAATTATTAAATCAAATCGAAATTGCTAAATACAGTAGATTTGTACACGTGATAAGGAAATACTTCTGCGGCTTACGCCATGCACCCGGTCCAGTTTCTGTTGTTACTTTTGCTTCTTGTTATAATTTGTTGATATTTATTCATCGTTTATTCAACTTTTTATAAAAATTAGTCAATCGGTAAAGTTCATTTTGTGAGAAAAGCACCTGGTGAACAAAATATGAAAACT